GTGTGTGTGTGTGTGTGTGTGTGTGTGTGTGTGTGTGTCCTCCTTAAGGTTTGGGTGTCAAAAGTCTGTCCCACAAAGAATCAAGTGTTTGAACATTGTTCCAACCAGGTGGCACCCCGTGGGGCAAACGGTGGACCTTGGGCAGTGGGCCTAGCAGGAAGAGGTGGGTCTCTGGGCATCACTGGGGACAGACACTCGAGTGTAACCAGCTTCCTCAGGCCCCTACTGCCCCACCGCCCAAGACCAGCTTTCCTGTCCCTGAGGACAGAATGTGAGGGAACCCAGGGGAATGTGCCTAGGGATCATTGGTCCATTCCATGCTCTGCCATCACAAGGAGCCATTGTGACACCTATCCACTTAAGGCTCTGGCTGAGCCTGCTTCCTGTCTTGCAGAGCAGAAGCTCTTGGTTGGAGAGCAACTGGACTTCTGTGCCCCTGACAGACTATACTCGCATTTTAGAAGCTGTTTTGACCACCATATAGTAAGTTCCTTCTGTTCTCTAACCTACAATATTTTATTATGTTTGTTTAATAAACATAAACTCTCCTTCTATTCCCTCCCTCACACGCTCATACCATTCTCCACTCCTCCTGTCTTACAGAGCAGAAGTTCTTGTTGTTAGAGAGCAACTGGACTTCTGCACCCATGACAAGACCTACTTGGATATTTGAAGATTTTGAACCATCATATAGTAAGTTCCTTCTGTTTTCTCTCTGAGAACATTTTATTATGTTTATTTAATAAACAGAAACTCTCCTCCAATTCATGATAAGGACCCTCTTGGTTTTAAAGTAAAGATTTATTTGGGGATGGGGTAATCTGGAGAGGTGGCCCATCAGTTCAAGATCATGTACTCTTGGAACTAGGTTTGATGTGCAGCTCTTCTTGGGAGAGCCTAACTACCTGTAGCATTATATAGATAGACATTATCACCATGTAAGTGATGTGTCGTAGCAGTGAGTGCACTTGCGTGTGGGCGTGTGAACACGTGTATGGATGCCCTCAGAGGCCAGTGGTGTAGAATCTCCTCGAGTTGGGGTTGGAGCAATTGTGAGCCACCTGACCTGGATTCTAAGAACCAAATTTAGGTAGGTCCTCTGCAAAGCTAGTTGTACCTGGACTCAGGGGCTGGCTTCCCAGCCCGGACACCGCTGGGTTTGGAGGGTGTCTGTTGTTCTATATACTTCTCTTGCATCTAATTTTATTAGTGCCTGCTCTCTCACAGTACAGGTGAGCTCAGGGTTAGGGGATGACCATCCTTTCTTATCAGTGGCTTAGTTTCTAGAATCCTTTGGTTGGTTCTTCCAGTTTGCAGTTGATTCCTGTCAAACCAATCTGTCAATTTTGCTCTACACTGCTTTGGAACATACTTCATTCTTGTCTATCTAAGCATTTAAGTACCCAGTTAGGTGGTCTGAAATGTGTCTGACCTCTTCCTTCCTTCCTTTCCTAGTCTTTTGGATGTAGGAATTCATAGCTCTAAATACTCTCCTAGGGCCTGATTTTAACTCTGTCAACTTTCTCATTGAACTTTTTGGCTCTAGCCGTATGAAGGAGGAGGGCCTGACTCTGAAGCAGGGCATGGAGGCCTGCTCCTCTGTGGAGGACCCCTTCAACACCGATTATAGAATGATGATGACTCTGGGACACGGACATTTTTCTGAAGTTAAACTCGCCTTCCATGTGCCCACTGTGACCTGTGTGGCTGTAAAACTCCTTAGAAACAAGAAGAAGTACAATTCGATTTTTAATAGTGAAATCAGCGTCATGAAATCCATGAACCATCCAAATATAATCAAGCTGTTTCACGTGATCGAGAAGGAAGAGATCACCTACCTGGTGATGGAGCACGCCTCAGAGGGAGAGCTGCTGCGGCGCATCCTGGAACGGGGGTCTTTACCGGAGAGCGAGGCTGAAATGATATTTACTCAGGTGGTACACGCAGTGAATTACTGTCACGAAAATCAAGTTGTCCACAGAGATATAAAAGCCACGAATATTCTTATGGACTGCAGGGGGAACGCCAAGCTGATTGATTTTAGTCTCTCTGTCAAAGTAACTCCTGGGCAGAAACTGCGGGGTTTCTGCGGCACTCTGCCCTATTGTGCCCCAGAACTTTTTGCCCGAGGGGAGTACGATCCTTACCCCATTGACATGTGGTGTTTAGGGATTCTCCTCTTTCTCATGGTGGCTGGGCACTTCCCTTTCCAATCTAAATCTTTTTCAGGCATGAGGAACGAGGTCACCTCAGGCAATTTCACGATTCCTCACTATGTATCCATCAGTATTTTCAATATTATCTTAGAATTACTGATAATCAATCCCTGCAGAAGGCCCACCATCAAGGACATCATGAGGCGCCCCATGATCAGGGCCAGTGAGGCACGTTCACCACCTCCCTCCACCCCTAGCCTCCCAGGCACCCCGAGCCCTAGCATTATCGGGACCATGAGAGTCATGGGCTATAAGCCTGAAGAAATCATTGAGTCTCTGAGAGACCAAAAATACAACAAGGTGATGGCAACTTACCTTATATTGCAACACCAGTCACCTGCGGGAGACTGTGGCCACAACCAGGTGAATCCTGTGAAACCCAGGCAGCCAGGCACTGTCCTCCACCTGACAGAGCCTTACACTTATCCTGGATCCCTAAGGAGAGCTGAACATGTTCCCTATACCTTTACCTTGCCATCTAAGGGCCAGGAAAAAGAGGAGGAGCATTATTCCAGGAAACTTGCCAGATGCCATAGCATGCCTGCCACCCTATGCTGCCATCCAGACACACACCCTCTCCACCTGGGCTGTCCTATTGCTAAGTCCATCAAGGGCAGCATCCTGGAAATGAGTGTTTATTTCTCACAGGTTGGATCACGTGACAATCTCACTGATAGTGACCATCCATCTCTGGGTCTATACTCCAACTCTTCTAGAACATCCCAGAATGAGGGTACAAGTGAGTCAGAGAGCCACACGTCCTACAGTCACCAAGAGGAATCCTGGAGGTTCCTGGAGGAAGAGGACAGCTCAAGCTCCTCCTCTGAGGATTTATCGGAGATGACGACAGTCATAGAGATAGAGTCGACCATAGTCGCAGAGGAAAAGACTTTAACACAGGAAGACATCGATGCTCAGGAAGCAATCATTGCCCTGAGAGTGAAGATCACCAAGGAGGACACCATGCCTGAAGAGAGGGAGGAGGAAGAGACCCAGGAGGACAACATCACAGCTGGCCAGCCTCAGGACGCCGGCACAGCTCTCCCTCAGGAAGAGACCGAGGACGAGGACATCACACCTGGCCAGCCTCAGGAAGCTGGCACAGCTTCCCCTCAGGAAGAGACC